CACTGCCTTTCCATAACCTCCAAAAAGGGGTAAAAAAGGAAAAAGCAAAATACTCAGAACCTGATTGTAAGGATCATCTTAGTTTTCTTTGTCTCACAGAAAATGTTTCTTAGGAAACAAGACTGACTAATGTTTCATTCCTAAAATAAAATTGGCTTTTTTATCCACAAGAGAAACAGGTTCTCATGGGGGGTGAGAATGCTGGAATGAGATTAAATGGCAGTTGAATGATCTTAGATGAGTTACATGCTCTCTGAGTTTTGGGTTTCTAATCTTTACAATAGTGATGATGTTAGGACCTACCACAGCTGGTACCTGTGAGAATCAAGTCAAAAGATCCATATAAAACATTTAGGTACAGATATGTGCATCTCAGACATTGCAAGAATTAAGTAAATATTAACTCTTTCATTATTAATTTAAAATGATTTTTATTGCATAAATGTTTCCCCATCCATAAGACAAGAGGGACTCAAGGAATAAATTTTCTTCAGAGTTTAATGTGCCACCAAATACAGATTTCTATAGTTATATTTTTACAACCAACCACTACTGAAATCCCAAACTAATACCAGGACATGGGGCAGAAAATAGGATTTCCCATTTTATAGTTTGGAGAACTGAAATCCAGGTAAAAATTTATTTGTAAAGACCTCCAGTACCCAACAAAGGAAAATCTCTATTTTTATAATTAGGAGTAATTGAATCCAATACTTAAAGAAAAGAATTATTTTATCCCTATATTTTACTTAGGTCATTTTGTAGTTTTCTTTGAATTTTAATATGTGTATGATCTAGCTTTGTAAAAGAAATTGCCTTTAATTATATAATTTGAACTTTTTCAACTGTAATCACTAAAGTTTCCTTCTATACTAGCCTTATTCATTTCAAATATTAGGAATCATTGCAATGTATTACAGACCTATGATGAAATAGGCAAGGAATGGGGGTTCGGATCTTTATCTGCATTCTCTGACATGTGATTTAGGAAAAAGTCCCTCAAATTCTATAGACATTCATATCCTTAAGAATATGAGCAATTGTATTTTTCATGGATTCTTATAGCTGAAAATAATTAATTTTTAAGAAATCAACTGATTTAATAAATCATTTATCAAAATTATTAATTTCCACCATTTTCCTACTCTTTTCTTTTGCTTATTGCTTGCCTTATCCAATTATTTGATTTTTTTCAAACTTTTATAGTTTCTTTAATCATTGTTTTTCTAACCAAAGTAGAGTACAAAACATTCCACAATTTCTCTTAACTTCTTGAACAACCATTGAGCAATCCCAAGTTTGAAACCAGGATTTCAGCGTAGCATTCTCCTTTTCCATTTTGCATTGGAATAGACTATTAAAATGCCAAATTGTGATATGAATTCATGCTGTAAAATTCCTAAGATTAATAGTCATCAAGCAGATACATTTTTAGAATACATGTTCATGGGAAAAATAATTACCTTAGGAAGCACAGAGGTAAGGATAAATGATTATATAGCTATTCAAAGAGATGGCCTTTCATAGACTCAGCATACAAAAATAAAAAAGGAAGAAGAAAGATGGAAAAAGGAAAATAAAATAATAACTACATATTATCAGCCAAATCCAATCAGTATCTGAAGGGATATCATTGTCTTCTTGAACTCATGACAACAAATGAAAAAAAAATCTCTCCTAAATCAAAGTAATAAATGGATCTCTTAGGGGAAAAAATAAATGACAGAAATCTCATGCTTTGTTTCTAGCTTTCAAATTATATTTAAAATAAATAGGTCATACAAACTTTATGTATACTCCAAATGGGAATAGGAATTATATCACGGAACTGCAAAGAAAGTGTCAAATGCACCTGAATCTTTCTCACTTGTCTTTTTCCCCTTCGATGCATGATAAGCAGCAAGGTACAGTTCCCACCGTGCATGGCATTTGGGTCCCTTGGAGAAGCAGCATTGAAAGAGTCAGGAAGAATACATAAAGGCACTGGAGGGACTGGTGCAATGTCGATGGCAGTCCCTCTGCTTATTCTTGGACAAGGCTACTAAAAATAAATTCTCATGATTTTAATTTACCATTGTTTGGCTTTTCAAGTGTGCTTTTAAAAATATATCCTTTTAGATTGCTTCAAATAAATTATGTTAAATATCAAAATGTAGGTTTTATCATCAGTGAACCAAAAGTTTTACAAGTAGTCGTATTACATTCTACACAGGGAATAAACCATAACACATTCATTATATTATTAAGAATCTTCCTCTGCTTCCATTACCAAAGCCAATTGTTTGTTAATGTTGAAGGTATTCAGATTTTTCTTACATAGTTAGACCAAATTTAAATATCTCAATTATGTCATCTTTCCTGAAACCTAATTCTATACCCCAGGCCATCCCATTACACTCCCAATACCTAATTTTGCCATATCATTTGATTCCCCTTTCATAGACAGACTGAGATTCTTTTGTTTTGTGTTTTGGTAATTTTGTGTAAGTTTTTAAAATATTGGAGTTCTCTTATCTTCTCAACAGACAGTTAACTCAATGAAACCAGGATAAACTCTACTCTTGAATCCAATAATTTATATTTTAATGGTAGAAAGAATAATATAAATAATTGAAAACAGTCATTACATTGTGCTAGTAATTGTGGTAAGGACTTTAAAAGGATGTTTAAATTTAAGGCACATAAAAAAACCTATAAGATGATTCTATTAATATTTCCACAGAGGCACAAAGGCTAGCCAGCTGGTAATATATTACAATTTGAGCCTGGCTAAGATGCTTTACTAATACTTTATGCATAGTAAGCACCTAATAAATATATCTGGATTTTAACTTTATAATGAGATAATAAGATAATGTGTTGAATATTTCAAAATCATGTTTACATTCTGCATCATGCAGTTGTTTCAAGCTATACATTTTTCTTCAAATTATACAGCCCATTCACAGTAGTACTTCAATAACAACAAAATAAATTACTAAGATTATCTTCACAGTTTATTATTTAATGATGTAAAAGTAACAAACTATTTAAAGGAGTTACTTTAAAATTTTTCATGAACTACTCTTAAAGTTTTGTTTCACTGCCTAAACATCTTATTTTCTGTTCTTTTGATGTCAGAAACACCTACAAGGAGGAATGGTTATTCTCAAGTTGAGTGTGTGTGCATGCACACATGTGTGTGAATGGTAAGAGCAAGATGACTAAAAGTTGAAACACAGCAACAGAGTCAAAACTAATTAGATATACAACCTAAGTATTCAAAAGAAGAGGCTATTTTATGTGTGATGCATTTGCCAGAGGTCCAGGATGATTTAGTGTTCACCACCTCAGATGTTGAAGCCAGGATATCTGAGTTCGAATTCCAGATGTGCTTTATGTTGTTTCACTGGAATTCAGATTCTTCACCCAAAAATACAATAAGAATGAGTGTTTTACCATACACAAGTAGTATGTATTCTCTATTATTGTTACAATTAGTATTGTTGCTATTATATTTGTTATAAGAAACATTGAAGCAATTTCCAAGAAAGTTAGTGAAGAGAACTTGGACATAGTAAAAATACAAAGCATTTACATTACAATCTTCAGGCTGAAATAAATGATATATAAGGATAAAATAAAATAATAGCTCACTATGCAAAACTATGTTAAATTGAAATTTCAGTTCCCCACTTAAGCCCCATCCATGGAATTTACATGTTTATGCATGTAGATAATTTGTTAAAATGATTTGTAAGATACTTGATGATCATCATATATTTAATTGGATCCAGTAATTGTTTAAATTTACACAAAATGTCACCTATATTTCCCCCAAGACCCTTTTCCATGTCTAAGGAAAAGTTATGTTTTCTCATAGATAACATTTTGAAGGAGGGTGCAAAGGTGCATAGTTAGTAGAAGGAGTAGAACTATTCTCATTTTAGAAATATTGTTATAAATTCTGATTTCTGTGTTAAAACTATTATTTTTTCCAAACTCTATTATCACTGTGGCAGACATAATTCCAAAATTCCCCTCAAGATTTCTTTCCATAAGCTATAAATATGATAATGTATCACACCTAGGTTGAATTACATGTGAAAAGGGATTGTAAAATGTAATCAAGATTACTAATCAGGCGACCTTTAGGTATAGACCCTACCTAATCACATAAACTATTTAAAAACATAATTTTTTTCTGGTTATTAACAGATGTAGAGAGATTCGAAGTACAAGAAGAATTAAATGCACCATTCTTGTCTCTGAAGGCAGAAGGGCCACATGCAAGGACATTCAGTTTGAGAGAGACCATGAGCTGACAGGCAGCAAGGAAATTAGGCTTCAGTCCTATAATCAAAAGGAAATGAATTCTGCCAAAAACCTGAATGAACCTGGAATAACTTCTTCCCCAGAACTACCTGATAGAAGTCCAGCCCAGAAGATCCTCGATAAGAATTCAAAGTATAATCCCATAAAATATAAAGAAGATTACCTAGATGGTATACAGTCCCTTAAAATATGGAGAATTTTCAGTTATTTTTATCTGGCACCTTCTGCTGAGTCAGGGCCTTCAAAAACAAAGTTGAAGGTCCATGATCAGACAAGATGAGACCACAGTGTCTAATAAATGAGCTGTTTGGAAGGAAAACTGGCCAGGCTGTGAATATAAGCATACAGAAGTATAACTATAAACAGAGAACACTTGAAGACAACATAATGAAGAGCATAGATCAAAACGACAGGATACTAGGCAGGCAAGAGAGGCAGAGACACAACAGTGAAAATTAAGTCAAAAGACCTCAAATACCTGTTTATACCTGATACTGTCTCTTCCTCTACATAGAACTGATTCAAAACTAACTAGTTACTGTCTGGTAGCATTGCTTACTTTCATTAAAGAAACTAAACCTCATGTCCAATTATAGGATTATATTAGCAACATAGTAAGATGATAGTATGTTCTAGGGACTTCCTCTAGGTCAGGCCAAACTGTGAAGAAATTTTGAAACTTCCAATCACCTTTTGTCTTCTGAGACTAAGTTCTTGCTCCATAATTTCCTCATGGCATTTTTCACTTCTGCATCCCTTAGTGTATAAATCAGAGGGTTGAGCAAAGGTGTTGCAAGTGTATAAAACACCACTATAATCTTGTCCATGGAAAAGGTAGTTGCAGGGCGTGTATATATAAATATGCAATGACCACAGTGATATGGGAGATGCAGGTGGAGAGGGCTTTTCCCCTCCCTTCAACACTGTGGTTCCTCAGAGTATGCAAGATGATACACCAGCATGACAAAGCTCACTGTACAGATGGCCCCACTCTTGGACACCAAGAGGAGATTGACTGTGTAGGTGTCTGTACAGGCAATTTTCAACAAGGGCTGCAAGTCACAGAAATAGTGATCAATCACATTGGAACCACAGAAAGGTAAACTCAAGGTCAGAAAAATATGAGCTAAAGAATGCACGTAGGACCCCACCCAGGCCACAGCCACCAACACACTGCAGACCCGCCAACTCATGATGGTCACATAGTGCAGGGGCTTACAGATGGCCACATAGTGGTCAGCGGCCATGAGGATCAGGATGAATATCTCCAGGCTACCAAAAAAAAAATGGAATGAAAAGACTTGGACTATGCATTCATTGAAAGAGATAGTGGTCTTCAAAAGGGCGTCCACAATCATTCTGGGAGCAACGGAGGTAGAGAAGCAGGTGTCAGACAAAGACAAGTGGAAAAGAAAGAAGAACATTGGACTCCCAAGTGCCTGGCTGGTCTTGATGGTCGTGATGATCAGCAAGTTCCCCAGCAACGTCCCCAAATAGAAAAGCAAGAAAGTGACAAACACTATTTTCTTCCAAGCAGGATCCTGGGTCAACCCAAGCAGAATGAACTCAGTCACACTGTTGTTCAGCTGCACGATTTCATGAGTGAGGTGAAAGGGGTGAGTGTGAAATGGTTTATCTGTAAAAACAAAGGAATTAATTCATGGTGATATGTGATTTTTAGAGAATACTGTAAGAAAAATAAATATTCCTCATCTTGGACATTTTAGCTGTGGTTTCTTGATAATTCAACACTTCTTTCCTCAATCTGTAGTGACAACTTCATAGGGTCAATGTGAGTCTCGGGTAAGCTTGTGAAAGTTACACTTTCTTAGTACCTTTGAAATGCAACCCTCTGCATCTTTTGAAAGATTCTGATTAATTTTGCAAATTCAATGAATATAAAGTAAAGAGATACAGCTCCTCTTTATTATTAACTTGATTTGTTTTCGCATTACATAAATTTGGGGACCCATGTTTTGATAGGTATCATTAGGCATTTTGTAAGTATTTCACTGCCCTTAGAGGTTCATGATATAAATATATTTATCCATATATTTGTTATACATATTTATATAATGTATATTTTTATAAACATGCAACATGCCTCACTTTACTGTACACCTGCTTCCAGATAGTACAGAGAAGAGGAACTCTTATAGACTCTTGATAATATGGTGTTACTTTGAAACACTCATGATATTTAATATCAGATATACATTAATGTAGATAAATGAATTTTCTTTGATAATTATTAATATATCCCCATTCCTATTTTTTCCTCCAATTTTTGAAAAATACCCCTTGGAGAACCCAAAGTTCCTGAGGATACATAAAAGTGAAAAAGGGGCATTATTACTCAGTAGTTCATGTCTCCACAATTTCTATTTAAGCTTAAGCATTTTAGATCTGAAGGGAATCACTTGTGGAGGTGTAATCCATATAGAACCAGGTCATGGTTGTAATCCCTCATAAACTTTATATTATTCAGGAATATGAAAACTCCACATCCTCATAACAGAGCAGAGGGAGGGAGATACAATTTTAGACAAGATGAATGGTGGATGCTCACTTACTGACTCCATTCAATTTGTTCTGTTCTGACAATTAATTATTCAACTTTGAAATTTCACCTCTTCTAATGAAGTTTTCTTTCTTCAAATTTGGAAAGGAATATTATAAGTAGCTTCACTTCAAGAACAAAACCTTTTCTCTAGATATTTGTCAAGATGATGTTGAAAGGGATACTGTAGGCAAGTAAAAATATAAACTGAAAATATGATGTATTTAAATAGAACTTGGAAGACTTACTTATCCCATTGTGTTAAACCATCTATACCTTCATCTATACCTCCAATATTCTGTTTTGAAAGTGTATACAGCCTGGCCTATGATAAACTAAATATACACAAAATTTCCCTTATATATTTTTTCCTCTCCCTTGATAAATTTTCTTCTCTTCAACAAACTTGAAATATCTTATCTTCCTCCAAATTAAAAACTACTCTTGGGAGAGTGTCTGATGAAGTTACTTACTTTAGTATTGTAGGTTTTTTAAAACTTGCTTTGTATTGTATAACCTTTGGCAAAGATCTTAAATTATAAGGGAACTGAGTTTTGGAGTCTTAATCAATAAAATAAGTTCAATCTTTCCTTACTCATTTGAAAGAGTGATCCATCACCAAATATTTGTACTTGAAAATATGGCCCATGATTGTGGCCACTCCTTTGAGTGTATGGCTTTTGTAATGTATATTATTAACCCCTTCAGACTCTGCATTTCTAGAACAAGCATATTTATGCATTTGGACATACATTTTAAAGATAAATTAAGAAGTATAAATACATATGGTTTCATTAACTCATTCATAATTGTGAATTCTCTTCTAATGGTTAATCAATAGTCTCCTTCCTTCCTGGAACATCACTTTATTTACAGCTACTCCTACTGTCTCAAAACTTCAGGACACAACTGCTAAGAAATGCCCTCTAATGAACTTAAGTGATTACTTTGTGATAAAGGAAATTCTCTCTCCTGTTCTCTAAAGGCTTTTATTAATAACTTTTCTTAAATATTACATACTATGCTTAAATTAAATTATGTGTGTGCTTCCTATAGCTTCCCTCCTGGTATAAGAATCTTTGAGAACTACACATTCTCAGAATTTTATTTTCCATAGTTCTAAACTCCATGACTTGTATACTGTTAGTACTTAGTAAATGCTGTTAAGTTACACTTTTTCTTTACCTCTTAAAATAAATTACTTATTTGATTGTCTTATTATTCTGATTAAAAAATACACTCACATCATTAATCTGTTGTGGTCTTCTGTATATACGGTCTATGTATGGTAGACATACCAAATGATCCCTATTTATAAATGCAGAAAAAAGAGATCAGTTATATATAACTCAGTATATCAACTCCACAACTTCCAGTAGAAGATGTACTCTGAATGGCACCACATGGCCATGTAAGATTTTGAGACTCTGACATGCATAAAAACAATCATCTTAAGCATTTTGCATTTTTTGCAAAGAAATACAAGCCCCTAAAGAATACAAGGAAAACTTTGAGATTTTTCCTATCCTCCTGCTACAGATGTACATTTTTGTGCGTGTTTCTGAGGATGACAATATGGCTATTTTTTCCAGAGGCATATAAACACTTTTTATCAGGTTCTTAACAGAATTTGACATGAATATACACTACAACAATCTGGAAACAAAATTGCACTAATAAAATAGCACATCTTGTAATAACTACTGTACTTACTTCAACTTTTCAAACAAGTATAGCACACTTTAGAATGCTTAATTTGTCAGAAAAATAATAAACAATGTTTTGGGTTGGTAACAGAAGAGCTGAAAGGAAAGCATACAGAAAAAGGTGGAGAATTAATGAGGGTAGAATACAAAGTGTTAGGTGAATCCTTCTATCCTAAAAATTCTGTTTTATTGCAGAGGCCACAGTGAGAATCATTCCTTCCCTTAAGGACTCTCAAACTATTCAACCTTCTCTAATTTAGTTACACTAACCTTCTTTCTTTGAGAGAATCCCTGCACCCTTGTGATTTCTACACAAAATCTGCCATTTTACTACGATGCCAACTACTATGAACAGTAACTCTGAAGATTTTTAAGCATGTCTCCTAGGACATTGTAATTAGTAGGTTACAATATGTGGTAATATTCAGCTTTATGAGATCATAGCATAAATTTCCACAAAGATTCCAGGAAATGCAATCTAACTATGTGCCAAAAAAGAAGAGGACTATACTATTTGTGGAAAGACCTAATAACTGCCACACAATGAGTGAAGGATTAGGCAAAAGAATGTCCTGTTTTGTTCTTATGGATTTAATTAAGAACATGGATAAATCTGCAATCCACAGAACAATCTGGGTTTAGATTTTTTAATGTCAATTTTAAAGCTATTTTTTAGCCACCTTACCTGTGACATATGTAAAATAAAAATTTCCAAACACTAAAATAGACATGCCCTGTGAAGGAAAGAGAGTTTCTTTGAGGCAAAAAGAGTTCCCTTGCTATTTAAATATTATTAAAATACTGATCTCGAAAGCTTGATTTGAGGGAATATGATTATGCTTCTATTAATGAGAATAGTTATAAAAATATAAAAATTTATAAATATATATAAAAATAAACTAAAATTTATAATGTACTTATAAAAATGCTTCCATCTACTCCTGAATACCTACATATTAATTCAAAATGGTTTGCAGGAGTTAGGAAAGCCATGGTAATGAAGGATCTCAGATTATTACATAGTATCATAAGGTTCTTTGTTCTCTAGAATATAGTCTGTGCTCAAATGTCTAGCCAAATAGAAAAAGATCTTCTATATTAAAAATCATAATGAGATGTATAATCTTTACTTTCTTACTGATTTGTTACAGAATTCTGTAAGTAGATGAACTTCCAGAACCTTGAGTCCTAAGTGGGCATGATACCTTCCAGCACAGACTGTCTGCAGGTTATTTAGCCTATAAGAAATTCCTTAAAAATGAGGAACTCAAAGATATGGCTTAATTAAAGATAGATTTACCTTTATCCTGTTTCATAATTTAAAAACCCAATATGAAGAGGAGGGGAGGAGATGAATCGGTGAAGCACAGAGGATTTTTAGGGTGGTTAAAACTCTCTGTATGATATACAATGATAGACACAAGTCATTATGCATTTGTCAAGCCCAAAGAATGTTCAACACCTGGAGAGAACCCCAAAGTAAACTATGGACTTGGGTGATTAGGATGTGTCCATATAAGTTCACCAGTTGTAACAAATGTACCTTTCTAGTAGGGGATGTTGATAATGGGAGAGGTTATGTATGTGTCAGGGGCAGGGGGTAAATGGGGAATCTCTGAACTTTCTGCCCAATTTTTCTATGACCTAAAACTGCTCTAAAAAATTTAAGTCTCTAATAAAAAATCTAAAATGATTTATTATCTGAGGTATATACTGTTATACACATATATCAAGTGTTTCTCTAAAGTGTAAACTCTTGGGGTGATGAGCTACACTGAGTCAGTGGCAATGATGTATTCTTTAGATCACGCTTACTTACAGATGCTTTGAAACTCCAGGCCCTGCCTTTGGCTCATGAAGCAGTGAAGGAAAAGTGGATTCCCTCAAGTTCATAACAAACTGTGGTCAATATCTCCTTTCAGCATGGTCTCTGGGTCTCCAAGGCTGATGTAACGCTTCAATTATTCAGAATACTTGGTGTCAAAACCACTTGTACACTAACAGGCCCTCTGGTTTATCAATGCTCCCATGATAATTTCTTCTAATAACCACTGGTTAATTGGCAATAAACTTCAGAACTGAATCCTACTACTGAGCTACAGAAAATGACTACTACTAGCAGGCTCCAATTCCCCCAAAATAATAAAAGATTCTCTGAAGACATTAAATCAGTCCCTTGAATAGTGTCTCTGTCTCCAGAGCCTTGTCCAGTCTTGAGTGGCAACTGAGACCTCTTTCCTTTCTCCCCATTTGTGGATTCATGCCAGCTCTCACTTTACATAGAACATCTTCCTGGATCCCTCTTCTTCCCCTTCCTGCCATTCAGAGCATGGACACAGTGCCATCTTCATATTCAAGATTGTGTGTTTC